AAGATGTGTTCATGACGATTTATATATTTACTTTGATTCATTCACAGTGCGGTATAATGAGACAATAACAGGCTACAGATGCGGACACACACACATATATATGTATATATTTATATAAATATATACAATTTCAGAATCAAACAGAGCACTCATAATAACGTAACACTATGAGAGACTGGATATATCCCCCCCCCCCCCCACCCCCCCTCTCTCTGGTCGCTACAATGAGGAAAATAAATTACGGGCCAAAAGTTTTATTTACAAGTATTAAAAGTAAGCAGAGGACTCCAAACGAACTGAGACCTGTCTGTCCGCTGCATCTACACACACACTGTACCACACACACCTACACATATAATCAGGCTACAGCCGTTGTGTATTTTATTATGTGAAGCACTGAATGGTTTTAGAAAAATATCGACTCTTTGTTTGTAGATATCTACTAAACTAAAGCAAATAAAGAGAGTAGGCCTGTTATACTGAGTGATATATATTATACACACTGCTCTGCTTTCTGCACGGACCTCACAGCTGTTCTCACTGTAAACATCGCGAAGAAAGCAGTTTCTAAAATAATATCCAGGGGATGCATGCAGAGCTGTCATTGGCTGAGATAAGTCCGGCCGTGCGTCACGACTCTTTGAAACATCTCTCTTCCCGGAAATGCATCCGCGAAGGAGCCGTGGAGGGCTGTGGAGGACCCATCAGTGTATCCTCGGTTATAGCTCCTCCAGAGAGGCTCCTCGATGCTCGGTCCTCGGCGTGCATTTAGAGAAATTAGATGTCCTTCAACATGGCGCGCTAAAATTCATTTCCGGGTCACTACCGGAGGACCGAGGAGTCGAGGAGGGGAAATTTGAGTATTATAGAAGCCTCTGAGGAGTCAAGGAGGGGGATTTGATGAAATGAGAAAGGGCCCAAATATCTAATTTGGCTCCTCCTCTTCAATGGCGACTGTGGCGTAATCTTCCGCTCTCCTTTCACCAGTGTTCGATATCACACATAACAGAGGATTTTGACATTGTACATTCATTACATAACTAAACACGCCTTTTCTCCTCCTTATCTCTTTCATGACTTTTCATTGAATACATTTTTAACGCTGTAATTCAATACTTTAAAAACACTGGAAATACTTTACGACAGTTATCATTTATGGTAGTCCCGGATGTTGTCATATGCTACCAACGTCTGTAAACAAAATATTCAGCAATAATAATATCTCGACGTCTATAGTTGTAGTGTTAAAATCAGTAGGTTTCGGTGTGCATCACTCCGTGTCATTTCACTTCGAAATTCACCTCTATAGGGAAAGGAATATTAGCCACATGCTAAATGCTAACCGGAGATGAAGGATTTTCAGAATAAAAGCTTGACAACAGACATTGTGCGCGAGAACTTCTGGTTTTTCAGTATAAAACAGCATTTAAACTGACGGTATGTTTTAACTAAATTATGCCATAAAACATTGATTTTAATTTCTAACAGAGGGGAAGCCTATGTGTCATAAGCCATCCAGTGGTCAGTAACATATTAATGTCAAATATAATGCAACATCCAAAAATGTCAATACAATCTTTTGTTATTATTATCAGAGGAGAAGGAGGTTTAACTGCTTTGCAATAAATATTTATATTTTTTCTATTTCATTTGAATGAGATGTATTTGTCATGACGTCAACATCTTGGCTTTTGTGTGCACATTAACTTTTTCTTCCTGTCAAACACAGAGTTAAGTGCTCCTCTCCCACCCACTTATTTTCACACAGTACCTTAGGCATTATTTTTTAGCAACTAAAATCTGAACACTGACTTGTTACTTCAATGTCTGTTTACAGATCATTCGGTGTACTCGTAAATATGTGAAGACGTTGAATGAATATAATTATTTGGCACCTGTTTGAGGGAGCTGAGCGAAGTCTCATAAATTCCCTCAAGTGACAAAACACGAGTCAGCTGTTGGGGATCAAGACTACAAGTTTGAGCCATAAGTATTTCTGGAGGTAGTGAGTTAAGCAGACCTGCTCTTCATCTCTGTTGAAGCTAGCGGGTCAATATGTTAGCCACTACTAGCGTTACACACCCAAATCGCTGACTAAACTGTCTCTGGCCAAGCTGCATTCTGGATAAATTGGGCTTCAGTGTTCGACAAGTCAGCTAAAATGCATCTCATAAAAAAAGAACAATCTCTGTTTCTGCTGCATCTTGACATCTTTTAAAGCACTATGACTCTTTCTCTGTCTTATTGAGTGACTGCATATCTTTTTCAGATGTTTGCATTTTGTGTCAGCAAGGACACTCTCCTGATGTGCAAGATAATAACAGTGATTTCACCACACTTTTGGAGAATAGCAAAATGCCAAATACATATTCGGTATACTGTTGCTTTATATGTTTGTTTCAGGGCACTTATGAAAAATGTATATCACGCTCTGGTTGCATTACACCAATATCCAAATAGGCTACATTACTATTCTGGCCACATATAATAGAGTGTGGATTATGGGTACCACATCTTTGAGTTCCACTTGGACAATACTGATTAGATTTGTTATCATCATACAATATATGGTATGCAAATTCATTAGTGACAGCATGTAGACAATGTGCTGTTACACTTGCATATAACAGTGTCATCTATTCATTCATTCAGTGTTATTCCTGCGGCTAACATGGCCCTGGGTGTGCTGCTGCTGCAGGTGATTTCTAAGGAATAAAACATCCCTAGTCTGTCATGGGAAAAGCCTCCCTCAACGTTAATCTCCCATCAGGCTTTTACGTGACACAATTCTCCGATTCTCTGAGCAATTCTCTTTTGAGCAATATTGTTACATGGTTGCTTTCCAGTATTTCTTTGGAGTGTCTCCAGTGTAAAGACAGCATGATTGGCGGATGTACTGAGAGCAGAATTGTGATAGGGTGATAATGTCTTTTCTTTACATTTTTCTCACATGTTGCATCAACCTTCACCTTTGACTACAGTGTTTGGTGTTTAACCACACATGTATGTCCTCTACTACATGTGGTGTGATACACAGGAAATATTGGTGAGTATTTTTTCCAGAGTAATTACTATTTTGCTCTGAAATAGTGATATTTAATCATTTGAGTGTATTTATTACTCATAGCTTCTAGAGTGCGATCAAAAATGCAGAGTCAATTCTATTGGAGTCAAACCATGACCACGCTGTAACGGAGGTGATCTCTGGGGCCGTAGATCTCGGTCTCTTATATTATATAGCTTCATTATTGAGTATATTACTTTGTTCCACGCTAAAACATTGCACAGAAAGCATGTGAATCTGTCATTTATGCATCTATTTGTCACGATCTGTCTATGTTTTAGTTTGTCTGTCTCTGTTTCCTGTTGTAGTTTGAAAAGTGTTCCCCCTCCCGTCTTGTCTGTTGCTGGTGATTGTGTTCACCTGGTGCCCCTCTGTTTTCTCCTCCCTCCTCACCTGTGTCTTGTTGGTTTGATTAGTCCTGTGTGTATTTAGGTTCTGTTTTCCTGTTAGTGTGTGTGAGAGGTCCTTGTTGCTGGTGACTGTGTTCACGTGAGACAGTCATATTGAGGCTGTGTATCATGAACCACAGCAAGGCAAGGCAAGTTTATTTATATAGCACTTTTCAACACAAGGCAATTCAAAGTGCTTTACAAAAAATGAAAGAGATTAAGAAAATGGCATTTAAAATCAGTCATTAAAAAGAAAAGCTAATAAAATAAACATTAAAAGAAAAAAATACATGGCAGTCAATTAAACATTAAAAGAAAAAAGTACATGGATAAAAGTATGAATAAATGCCCACACCGGGTTGTATTTTAACTCTGCCTCTGCCTCCTTGCTTGGTCGGGCCGCTCAATGGTCAGCTTCACACACGCCCACTCGTGTTACTTAAGCACTTTGGTTTATTGACCTTTTTTATTATAAAGATCATTATAGTTCATTTATTCTATTCTGAGTAAAATTACCTTCTAGTTGGAGTAAAATGACCTATTATGAGTAAAATGGCAGTAGAGTTGTTTTTAATATACACTACATAGAGTAAATAACCATTAAGCAGAGTCAAATCTAAGCACATAATAGAGTAAAATGAACTCTAAAAATACAACTCTGAACAAAGAGTACATTTTACTCTATATAGGTTGGGACCAAATGTAATATTTTTAGATTAAAATGTTCTTCAATTTGAGTCAATTTTACTCAGAGAAATGTACTGTTTACAATCCCTTGTTGCTGCATCTCACATCTCCTCCTAATGCACAATGAACACGTGGCAATAAGACATGGGAAGAAGAAAAGTTTGACTCACAACCAGTTAAAGGGCAAGATGGAGCAGCAGTTTGACCTTATTGTTGACCCATTGAATCCCAGTAGATGTTGACAGATGTAAAAGTGCAACTCAAGGCAATAGGCTGTTTGTTGATTGGCGATTAGGTCAGCGGGGGAGGGGGTGCTCTATAGAGGTGGTGTTGTACTTTCCATCTGTCGAGGATGGAGATCACCTTGTTGCTGCTCTGTCTGTGCATGCCCTCCAAATGTTGCTGCTGTATCCCCAGTAGACCGGGTTGAAGAAACATTAAAAAGTATTTCCATTTTCACCTGCCCTAGGCTGCAGTAAACAGGTATGAATACATTTGCTTACAGCGAGTTGCATCAAAGTGATGTGCTGCCTATATTAACACATAATTCCTCACTGTGCATTAATGCTGGCGATAGAACAAAGTCTTCTCATACTATGTTTAACCACTGCTGAACCTTGCAGTGTACAGTCATATTAAAGAATCTCGTTTACATGTTCCTTTTTATGTCAGATGAGCTTTGACATGATTAAAATAACGCAGTCCACTCCTTACAACCTTTATAGTTTTAGTCTCATATAAATGCATCAGGAGTCCGGATTCTTCTTTTTCACGTTTGGTCAGAGGCGGTGTGAGGAAGGCACCAACAGAAAAATCCCCTCTGACTGCGAGTGTGTGCGCACAAGCAAAAGGGACGAGACTTCGCCTGCACCTCAATCTGTTCTGCATCTTTCCACCGGACCGCAGTGGGTTTACCCGACCGTAAAAGACTACATCTACACCACAAGAGAATACAGACAGAGCGTGTTTCACCGGTCTGTTTGATTGAAGGAGCACACAGCACAAGGCGAAATCACTGACTGGCTTTCTCATTGCACTCTTCCCTGGCTGGTAGTGGGATGCAGGATACGCAGCATCACCGGCTTCGTTAGAATAAGCCTAATATATAGAGACCTTCCTGTTCAGTGGGCCTATCAGATATCAAGGCAACGTAAGTAGTCAAGACTAAAAGTGTGAAAAGGACTGCTTTCTTCGGGGGATAAAGTGAAAAGGGTTATTTTTCCAACTATTTGGGATGTGGATGTTTTTTGATTCACGGGGCGCGCTGATGCCCCACATTACGGAAACATATTTTATCGTCTAAAGATCAGATTTAACTGGACTGCTGTTGCTGTGATCTGTAACACGTTTTACTGCACATCTCTCTGCCTCGGTGTGTGGAGGGAGGCACGGAACAACATCCAGAGAACTATAAAGAGGGGGAATTGAGTTACATTGCAATTACGCTTTTCTTGCAAAACGACGTATTCCTGCAGGCAGCGGACACTCACGGAAAAGCTGATCCAAACTAACAGAGAATTTATTTCCGAACTGGACAACAGACAGAACACAGATTACCAGGTAAGGCACGTTTTTTTTAAGTCAACATAAGAAATGTATTTAAGAGCATCATTTGGAAAACTGTACAGTAGGCCTGTTGAATGCTTCAAGGATTTAATGACAATTTGAAAAGACGCTGCGCAAAGGACTGACTATCCTCCTGTTTAGGCTAACGCTTCATTGTGCAGCAGAAGTTGGGATATTGATTATCCAGCATAATGAGTGATGTTTTACCCAGTCTGCTTCTGATTCAAAACGCTCTCTCAGCCGGATTAATTTGTTCTTTTACATTGTTATGTTTCTTTTGCGTTGGAAAACTCCTGCTACAGCCTAATTGTTGCATGTTGGATGAATGGAAAAAGGGTCCTTGTGCAGCAGAGATTGAGAGCACGGCTCGGAGTCTCAATAAGGGATCCCAAATCATTCATTTTCAGGAGGCAGAGGCCGAGAAGGACGTCTATATCGTGACGGATGATAGGGACACATTCAGTGATAAAGTGCTCAATTTAGTGGAGTGATACAGATCAAACGTAAATTCATTTAGGGCATGATGGATTACCTTTGTGGTTAAGTGTTTATTTAACACTCCGTACACACTAGAATTTTGACTTGTACTCATGTTATTACAATGAACCAAAGAGGGGATAAGTGAACGTGATGTTGTAATGATATATAGTGAGAGAGGGTGGTTGGGGAATCACAGAAGCTCACTTTTAGCCCCACCTTGTGGTTCAATTTAGTTTCTGTTTCTGGCTCCTCTCGTGGCATCCACAGGTTTTTGCTGTGGATGCCAAAACAAACAAAATCCTTTTAGTTTATCGTCTGAAAAGATTAATGTGCTGTGAAGTGATGCAGTTGTACATTAAAATGTGGGAAGCATTCAACCCCTGGGCAGCAACTGGTGATAATCACAAATAAAACAGTGCAGATGTTTTTCTTATTTGCTTTTTTATTTTATGAAATGCTTTTGTAAATTAAAGAGGGAATTAACAGTTTGATTATCCTAGTAACACATCAGACTAAAATAGGATTTATTTTAGTCCAATATAAATGTGTTCTATTTAGTCTTATATCATTTTTGCTTTGTTTATTCAATTAAATTTTTCAGCAACATATTTGCTGAGATTTTTATTGGCAGCTGCATGGTATCCCCCTGTTTGTGTGATATTGATGCCAGCCGATGATGTTTGCATTTCTCCAAGCTCAAGTACTTTGTGTTGATCCCAAAATGAATAAATGCTGCATCCATAAACACAAACTGCTTTGTTGGCTGTCTTGTTATAAGTCAGATATTTACTCAGAATCAATTTCATGTTAATAAGTGTATCTGCAGCTTGGCAATTCATATTCATACAGTAGGCTATGTGATGCCAAATGCTACAATTTATGCCCCAGAGGAACACTTTAAGTTTGACAGCTCATTAATAGGGAATGGATGATCCTGGATTGGCTATAATGCAATTATGGATTGGGTTCATATCCACGATGTATTGTCCTGCAAATCTAGTTCAGAGACTTAGTTTTAAACACAACTACCAGCATGTGAGGATTAGTCATTATGACCAATAATAAATAATTATTGTTCATAATGAATAATTCATTGTTATTGGAAGGATATTTACACACATTTTTTACACGTTTCATTATCCAAACTTGAGGGTTCGGCCCGTCCACACAGCGGCGTGCGATGAAGCTTCCAACGCTTCTGCCCATCACTTTGAATGGGGTGACGTCACTTTTAGCCGAACTGCATTTTGGGAAGCGACGTGGAGCGTTGCTGGCGTTGCTGGCTTCAAAAGTTGAGCAATGTTCAACTTTTGACGCCTCGACCGAGGCGTCAGCCAATGAAATCCCGTTTATGCAAATCTGCCAGTACAAGCGCTAGCCAATCAAACCGCGTGTATGCTGGGAGAGACTACGCAGGTAATTTCCTCATATTACAAAAAATGGAGGGAAAATTCATTATAGCGGTAGTGAATCACCCGGTGCTGTATGATCAGACTCTGTTCATCTACCGGGATACAACCGGAGGAGCGAGGCATGGAGGGAGGTGGCAGAGACAGTGGATGCAACTGGTAGGTTTTCGCCTGTTTGGGGATTTTATATCCAGTTTACTTCGTTTTAACATTGCTATTGCTTTGTATGTCGGGGGCGGGAGATTCATGTGATTGGTTGTTGGTCGCGTTGCTCGCAAAAAATCCCCAAGCTTCAGATACGCCCACATCCAAGCGTCAACGCACGCCGCACGCGGTTCGTTCTCAACTCTATGGTTCTCACTGATGCAAGTTAAGATGAAAAACAAGGTTTAAGTGAAACAAAACATAAAACAATAGAGAGGCGTTCATGCATAATGAAGGTACGTGATCTTTAATTGAGTTTCCTGCTTGTGATGATTAATAATAATAATTGAAGTGATTATCGCGTTATTCTGGGATAGGACTATCGTTTTTGTCAGTAGGCCACCTGCTTGTAGTTTTGCACAGGTGTGTAGCGTTACATTGGCGGAGAAACCGCACAGAGCTTTTACACGGATGTTTACGTAACTATGGCGTTTTTGTCTGGAACATGTGGAAAAATATATTACAAATATCGTGGTGGCTAAATTGAAAACCTTAGTTAGCAACCACGTGGACTTGCTAGCTAAACTGTATTCTAGTCGGTAAGTTGGGCATCTAAGTTTTCTGTAATGGACACCAACCAACGGCACAAAGGCTGTCAGTCATTTCTATCCAGTTGCAATAAGTAATATGGTTAGTGCTGGATGTTAAAGCTAAGGGCTAGCAAGTGTTATTATCTACCATATTTCACTTTGGAAACAACTTTTGATATGAGACACAACAACCAGCACATCTTGACTTTGAAGCTACAATTACTTCGTTAACAAAATATGTTGAATAATACACCTACTTGTGATCATTTCTAATTTAAGAAAGGATAATACAATTGTTATTCATTAAAAGGTCACCTGGCTGTCTGTCCGGCAAGAAAATATTTTAATTATTTTCCTAATCAAACTGATGTTCAATGCATTTAACTATTTCTCACTGTTTTGCAATACATTAGAGTTAATTACATAAATGAAGACAACATCTTCAATATCAAATGTGTTCAATTTACATCTCCAATTCGCTGGGATCATTCATTTGAACAAGACATTTTTTGTAAGATGATCACATTATATAAAATAGTCTAATACTGAGTTTCGCCCATAGGCCTATACTGTTTTCTTTTGACAAGCCCTAAATGGGCAGAAACAAATGAATTCATATTGCTTCTATTTCACACCCTTTCAGGCAAATTTGAAATGTGGGATTATGAGTTGTTTAAATTAAACTGACTTGACTTGCTTGAAATTGAGGCTAGTGCCTTCAAATATATTTGAATGTATTCTGTTGATTTTGCTTGTTACACATCACCCACCTATACCAGATGTTATATTGCTTTTAATAGAGTACTATAGAAGAGTGGAAGGACAGCGCAGCTTGACAAAAACCACTTCAGCATCAGGAGAGCACAGACAGACCAGCAGCAGACCTGTCCTCAAGCCCAAAACTAACCTACAGGTAAAGCCTCTGTCACAGATGTTCAGGATAATCCTCTTCTAGAATCTCACACAAAATGCCAGATTTCTATTTTTAGTGGAACTAGTAAGGCTTTATGTCTTTGTTTTGTTGTACTGCAATTGGCGGAGGTGCAACATTTGGTAGATTACCTGATGCCATTCAGAGCAAATAAAAAAAAGAATGGTGAATTTCATGGCTCCATTTCAGAGATGGGTGAAGTGGTGCTACTCGGGCCACTCACTGGCTGCTGTTTATTTGTTTGTGCGCTCCAGAGTTCCCTGGTTTGCAATGCTGTGCATTAGGAAACCGTTCCACTGTTAAAAGAGCACAATGGAGCATTGTTATTGTTGACAGCTGGCGTACCCGGAGAGTGGCTGGCAATGAGGTTCAACCAAGGGGCAGTGCCTCAGCACATGGAGGCCAAAGCCTGTTTATTGTTGCAGCGGAGACAGACCTTTTATGTTTTAATTCCTGTGTTTGTCTGAATATTAATATTTTTGTTATTCACTTGGAAATAGCCCACACATTATCCAGCTTGGATGTATATTCCCTGTTATATTTATAGATTTAAAGTTTGGTCATGGGCCAGATTTGGCCCACAGACTGCTTATTGCTGAAATCTAGACTGCAATAAACACATGCCTGGATCTGGCTTTATATCCGGTTATTCTTGGAAATCCCTATTATAAGATAGTTGCTCATCATTTTGTAATTATGAATATTATTATCAAACATAATTACTAGCAAAACAAATAATGGTAATTAAAGTAATGGTACTTTGAGGGTGAACACCTCTGTTGCAGAAACAGGAGCCTGCTATTAATACTCATCCCACATATCTTAACCACATTTCAGTGAAAACCCTATGATTGGATTGATGAAAGGTGCAGAGGTGGGCAAACTTGCTTACTTTGGGGCTATCCCCGCTCACTTTAATCAGCAGCTTGCAAAAAATAACATTTTGGAAGTTGGTCAGCATGTGAGTAGTGCAACCGCATCAAAATTGGTTAGGATTTAAAAACTCCTGTAGTCTGAGCAAGGCTTTAAGGAAGTGTCTTTCCTGTGAGTGGAGGGGAGCAGCGTGCTCTGCATCTGTCCCACTTCATTTAGCCAGCCGTCACTGCAGCATGCTCACACTCATGATTGAATCCTCACAAATAGCGTAGATTAAATATGGCACTTTAAAAGAAATGAGGCTATTTTTTCTGCCTGCTGAGCTGGCTTCCTGTTTTCTTCCGTGCCTCCATAGGTCACGTTTAACATATTCATTGTGCTAATATAGCTGGTGTAGTTGTTTGCTCAAGGTTACACCAACAATGTCCATGGCATGATAGACACAGCATGCTAACGCCACTTAGGTATACCACTCCTGTCTCCACCCTTCCCATTTCCACTCCTTCTTTGCATTACCGGGCAGTATTCAAGGTTGTGTGTTCCAGGCACATCTTTGGAGGGCTA